GTGGAAAACAGTAGTCATCTTCGTCAAGGTAGAAAAATATAACAGAATGTAGCCCGAGTGCTAGATTTTTGGAATAAGGTTTTTCAGTAGTTATATTTTCAAGAACTGTTATATAAATCATACTTATAGGAGAAGATTGCTTTCAACATTTTCCAATTTCAAAATGAACACTTAATAAAACCTGGCCCTTAACTATGTAGTAGCCATTTTTCCCCTTTTTTTATTATATTTAAACACAAAACTGTCCAGTGGTCTATTTATACTGTGCCAACTTAGAGTGTAACACTTCAAGATTGCTGCTTAGCCATTTTTATTCTGATATTTAAAGATAAAGTATAAGCCAGGAGATTGGTGATCAAGATAAATATTATGTATAGTAAAAATGCTGCAAGATGTTCAATGGATAAATATAATTTACGGGTTCAAACATTATTAGACCTTGTCAGTCCAGCTTGTTTATTGGAACAGAAAAAAACAAACATTTATTACAGATTTTAAATTATTTTATTTCATTACATAAATTGTTTGATAGCCAATGGTAAAGATCCAGTGTTTATGGGAAAAAAAGCTCTTCATTCAAAACTTACAAAAATCTTAAATGTACAATATTCATTGCTATTAATATTTTTAAAACTACATACTTGTAAACCACATTACTGACAAAATTAAAGAAAGTAAAAACTCGTGGTTATTGCCGCGATAGCATACAAATTCCGAAGAGTAATATTGCTTTCTTGGATAAGTTATGACTCGCACTCTTGGTTTACACTGAAATGGTATAAGGTTTGTAGAAGTTAGTCGTCATTACTCACGTGTGAAGATGTGTGACAGTGAGACGGATTTCCGATTTTTCCAGAAGAGAAAGGTGGGGAAGGGAAGTCAGAGAACCTTTTTTTAGGTTAGTTGAATGAAATATAGTAACAACAAGATACACTGTGTTGTCAGTTTAGCCTTTAATTCCCAGTTTATTGCCCTCTAGTGTTTGAGTGGTAACCTTGAAGACTTGTAGAAGTTCGACGTTAGATCCTTATGGATGGTCCATTGCGCTTAGCAACAAAACTTTGCTTTATTATGTAGTAAGAAAATATTGTAATGCCTAATGTTGCGTTGTCTTTCTGAAATATGCACTGGACTACTACTTTATTTGTCCCCCATTGGCACAGCGGTATGTTTGCGGACTTACAACGCTAGAAACTGGGTTTCGATACCCGTGGTGGGTAGAGCACAGATAGCCATTTGTGCTTAATAACAAACATCAGCAACTTCTCTGTTTTCTCACAAGTTTTCAGCAAAACAACCAGACACGTTAGTTAATGGAAACAAGTAATATATTTTGCAGTAAAATACGGTCAATTAAGAACTAAATTAAGTCATTCAAAGTATCTTTTGTATTGAACTTGTAGATGTTTAGCCAGATAACTCGGAACATCATTAAATCTATTCTAGAACAGATGATAATAAAAATTGCTTGTCGATCCATGACTTTGTTGGATATAGGGTCAATTACAATACAAACATCAAACAAAAATACAATGAATATCGCAATTAATCACGCTTATTACTGCTGGCCGTATCCTATGTATTTGACGTGGAAGATTGGTGATTTTACAAAATGTTTGAAAGTTCTTTACGCTGAATGTTGTATCAGGCAGAACAATCGATGTGATACATTATATTAACCCTACTTGCAGTAAACGATATGAAAAGTGATAACTGTGGGTTGAAGAAGGATGTTTAGTTTCAGTAACTATACAGATATACTTATGACTAATCTATATAATTTGCTTTTATGGGTCTTGGTTTTAATTTTAAGGCACCTCGAAACATGCTTTTTATACACGTACTTAA